ACCAGGATGGTCTCGATCTCTTGACCTCGTGATCCACCCGCCTCGGCCTCCCAAAGTGCTGGGATTACAGGCTTGAGCCACTGCGCCCGGCCCACTGTCATTATTTTAAAGTGCAGAAACCAAAGAGAGCCCGCTATTTTTCAAGTGGCACTGCTAATCAGTGGCCAATATGCAAATTGTGAACATAACGTTATTTTGGGGTTCCCATTTTTAATTTTTAAGTACCCTTTTTAATTTCTTTATTGAATCGCATTTACTACATTTTCCTTCCTTTTTTTTTTTTTTTTTTTTTCCTCTTTTCAAGAAACAGGTTCTTACTATGTTACCTATCTTGAGTGATTTGGTACCCAAGTTGATTTGGTACCCAAGTTGACCTTTGAACTCCTGGACTCAAGGGGTCCTCCCACCAAGTACCTTGGGACTACAGTATTACAGTTTTCAAAATTATAAAAATATGCAACACTTCATGCTTTCTAGAAAATTCTTAATTGTTTTATTCTGACTCAGAATTATTCACAGATCTCGGATAATACCTTTCTTTTTTGTCTTTTTGTTTTTTTCCTTTTTGTGGAGAATAGATTCTTGCTATATCGCCCAGGCAGGTCTCTTAACTCCTGGGCTCAAGCTATCCTCCCTCCTCTACCTCCCTAAGAGCTGGGATTACAGGCATGAGCCACAGCACCAGCCAGATTATACCTTTCATAGACTGTTAATCATACAGTGGAAGGCAGTGTAGTATAACAATTAAGAACATGGGCTCTGGAATAAATTGTCCCAGTTTGATTCCTGGCTCTGCTACTTTTAAGCCTTAACCCTGTCAAAAGACAAAATTACAACTAATTTAGTTTAAAGATCTCACTTGGCTTTATTATGATTCTAGATTCAGGTAATACTTTATTCCATAAAATAAGTGCTCAATGAATTGAGCAGTTGGGGGTTGGCTTTATAGACAGTAAAGGTTTAAGGAAGCTAAAACAAAACAAAAAGCAGATTGGTTATTTCAAAGTTACTTGTAAGACTGGGACGGAGAGAAAACAGATCCATGGGATGCAGAATGGATGTTATGTTAGCAGGCATGAAAGCAACAGTAATTTCCTTGTACGAACATCTTCATCAGAGCTCTTGGCTCATTAGGTGCACTATCAATTAGCAATGGTATTTTGAAAGGACCCTTTTTTCCGAGCAGTAAATCTCAGTAATGGGCTTAAAATATTCAGCAAACCATGGTATAAACAGAGGCACTGTCATCTAATCTTATTCCATTTCTAGAGCACAGACAGAGTAGATATAGCATCATTTTTAAGGGCCTTAAGGTTTTGAGAATGGGAAATGAGCAGTGTCACTGGCAGCATTAGTTCCTAACAACAGAGTCAGCCTGTCCTTTGAAATTTTGAAGTTAGGCATTGACTTCTCTCTGGCTATGAAAGTTCCATATGATATCTTCTTCCAATATGAGGCTGTTTCATCTACAATGAAAATCTGTTGTTGACCGGATGCAATGGCTCACCCCTGTAATCCCAGCACTTTGGGGGGCCAAGGCGGTTGGATCATTTGAGGTCAGGAGTTTGACACCAGCCTGGCCAACATGGTGAAACCCCATCTCTACTAAAAATACAAAAATTAGCTGGGTGTCGTGGCACAAATCTGTAATCCCAGCCACTCGAGAGGCTGAGGCACGAGAATTGCAGATCACCTGATGTCAGGAGTTCGAGATCAGCCTGACCAACATGGAGAAACCCTGTCTCTACTAAAAATAAAAAAATCGGCTAGACGTGGTGGTGCATGCCTGTAATTCCAGCTACTCTGGAGGCTGAGGCAGGAGAATTTCGTGAGCCTGGGGGATGCAGGTTGCAGTGAGCTGAGATTGAGCCATTGCACTCCAGCCTGGGTAACGAGAGCGAAACTCCGTCTCAAAAAAAAAAAAACACAAAAAAAAAAAAGGTAACGAAAGCGAAACTCCGTCAAAAAAAAAAAAAAACACAATATTTATGGAATAAATTTGTGTCTTATATGGGCCTGATTTGTGGTACTCTAGAATCTTTATAATAGTAATATCAGAAATTATTGATCACAGATCACCATACAGCTATAATAATAATGAAAAATTTCAAATATTACAAGAATTACCAAAATGTGACAGGTACAGATACTCTTAGAAAAATGGTGCCAACAGTCTTGGCTCAAGCAGGGCTGCCATAAACTTTCAATTTATTAAAAAATGCTGTATGTGAAGTGCAATAAAATGAGGTAAGACTGCAACTGTTTGTGGTACTCATTAAAATTTTAATTAGGTACTTATATAACTTGGTTTAATTTATGTCTTCTTTCTCAGATTAAAACTTTCATGAGGGCAGGGAATGGCTATCTTGAGTCACTACCTCCTAACACAGGCTGACAGTAGATGTTTAGTAAATATTGAATGGCTTGCGCGGTGGCTCACGCCTGTAATCCCAGCACTTTGGGAGGCCGAGGCGGATGGATCACGAGGTCAAGAGATCGAGACCATCCTGGTCAACACGGTGAAACCCCGTCTCTACTAAAAACTACAAAAAATTGGCTGGGCATGGTGGCGTGTGCCTGTAATCCCAGCTACTCAGGAGGCTGAGGCAGGAGAATTGCCTGAACCCAGGAGGCGGAGGTTGCGGTGAGCCGAGATCGCGCCATTGCACTCCAGCCTGGGTAACAAGAGCGAAACTCCGTCTCAAAAAAATAAAAAATAAATAAATTCTATATAAATTTTGTGCTCTCTTAAAATCCTGTTAATTCTATTATGACTGTGCATGGTCTAGATAATCTCTGGTATAGCATAAGATTATGTTAGAATTGGAGGAAATTGGGTAAAAATATATTTGCCTTATATGCCTAATTGCTACAGAACTGCTTTTCAGTTTGTGATTTAAGCTTTTTATAAACACCAGCCAAGCCCTTGGTTAGGTGTAATGCTAGTAGTAGCACCTTCAGGTCTTCGGTTAGACATGATTTCTTCAGAGAAGCCTTCCCTGACACCTCGTCTGTGTAAAAGATACTTAAACACACAGATTTCTTTGTTATGTGCTTCCATAGCATTCTGTACTTGTCTTTTTAAAGTTTTCACCACGTTTTTACTGTAGCTCAATTGTTTATCTCTCATTGCTGCATAGTAAAAAGCTCACTGTGGTCCAAGAGTATGGCTTACTCAGTATTGTATGTATTCACTGCCTGACTCAACATCTGGGTGGGCATTCAAGTTCTGGAGAGGTTAATATTAATATGTGTTAAAATACAGCTTTGTAAGCTAAACAGACTCACTTAACTGAAACCTTGATAGAAATAATGTAAAATATATTCTATTGTATGGAGAGTTTCTAGGTGTAAGTTTCCAAGCAATGATTTTACAATTTGTATCTAAATCTTTTTTGTTAATGTAGACTACTACTGGTGAAAGAATTTTCAACAATTTTTATTCTGCATGTGAAAGTTATATTTTCTAAGAAATATGTTCATTGCTACTCTTTTTTTGTTCTGATTTTTAATCAGACTGTAAATGTACCACTCTAAATTTATGATAATTTTTACATGTTTGTAACCTATTACTGAACAAACCACACAGTGGCACTACTGGATCAAGTTTGATTTTAATAAAATTCACTTTTTTTCTTTTTTAGCTATTATTCATGGACTATCCAGTCTAACAGCTTATCAGTTGAGAACTGTATACATATGTCAGTTTTTGACAAGAATTGCAGCAGGAAAAAACCTTGGTAAATATGTGTTTTTATTTTATGTTGGAAATATTTCAATCTGCATCTAAATGTAAGACAATGAGAAGAAACAGATGTTTTTGGGGGGGAGTTTGCTTACAAGTGTCTGGTGCATAGGGGGGGTGTGTGTGTGTACACATGTACACACATACAGCCATATCTAAAACAAGTAAAAGAAATGTAGTCCCTGTCTTCTTAGAACATTGGTTCTCAAACTTTAGCCTGCTCCAGAATTACTTAAAGGACTTATTAAAAACATATATAGTGCTGAGTCTCACTACTTCCCATGAGTTTCAGATTCAGTAGGATGGGTATGAGGCTTGAAATGTACATTTCTAATAAATTCCCAAGTGATTTTGATGCTACTGTTGGGGCAGTTGTTTCATTGACTATTTGGCAACTTTGTGGTGACTCCAGTCATACACATTGTTTTTTATGGGCAACTATTATATATGAAATCTCTTATTTGAACTTGATGCCAGCACTTATTTATGTAAAGAAGTACAGTTTATAGCTGTAATCTCTCTCCCTCGTCTCCGTAGTTCATTTTAAATTGTAATGGGCAAGGCTGATTCAGTTTATCAATAATGGCTGGTATTTACAACATGGTCATTTTAAAAGGCTATTTGATGCAAATAATTTTATATTTATATTGGTTTTTATAATTTACAAAATGCTTTTTCCAACAATCCTGAGTCGTGGGCAGTACTTACATAAAACCACTTGCTTATCAAAGTGTTGTCTTACGTAAAATCCCAGTGTATTAGCACCACTGTCAAGGCCCTCACTCAAGTAGCTCTGGCTGATGTAGTCTGCTTTGTTTGGGGGTGAGGGTAGGGCTGGAGTTGGTGCCAAGACCATAAATGGATAGAACTAGATAGATGCGGAGTAGTTGTGAAAGATTCAGAGCTGTAGGTAGACCTCAGCCAGTTGCTGGAGAAGCAGCAGGCTGGGGCAAAATTGCAGATCATGCAGACCGTAAGTTGACACTGTTGTTAACAGGATTGTTTTCTAAATTAAAGGTGGAAAAATATTCTAAAGTGCCTGGTAGTGCTTTACACGTAGCAGTTGTTCAGTACATCTTAGTTGCTTCCTGGATAACCTTTTCTTTTTTTTTTTTATTTTTTAAAATTTTATTTATTTATTTATTTATTTTTTGGCCCAATTGCTGGAAATTGCCCACTGGATAACCTTTTCTTCAAAAAAGGCGGGGGGAATCTAGATTTTATGTGTGATTCCATGGTTTAATCTTGGAATTTACCAGAATACTTTTTGGGATATATCCTAGATACAATAGGCCTGGGACAGCTATCAAGAATCAATGTATTTCACCATAATGCACTCAACTGAGGCAGCATTGAAAAGTTTATATATTGGATTTTCATCTATACATAACCCTTTTGTTTTTTTTGTTTGTTTGTTTTGCTCTATAGTGGCACTAGCTAATAGAAGTATGTGAGCCACATGTCTAATTTAAAATTTTCTAATAGCTATGTTAAGAAAAGTAGGCCAGACACAGTGATTCACAACTATAATCCCAGTACTTTGGGAGGCCTAGGCAAGAGGATCGCTTGAGCCCAAGAATTTGACACCAGCCTAGGCAACATTTCGAGACCCTGTCTCTAGAAAAAATTTAAAAAATTAACTACATGTGATCCTGCAGTCCCAGCTATTCAGGAGACCAAGGTGGGAGGATCATTTGAGCCTGGGAGGTTGAGGCTGCGCTGAGCTGTGATTGTGCCACTGCACCCCAGCCTGAGTGACAGAATGAGACCCTGTCACAAAGTTTAGAAATTCCCATTCCAAGCCAGGCACAGTGGCTCATGCCTGTAATCTTAGCAGGCTGAGGCGGGCAGATCACGAGGTGAGGGGTCAAGACCAACCTGACCAACATGGTGAAACCCCATATCTACTTAAAAATACAAAAAAACTTAGCCAGGTGTGGTGGTGTGCACCTGTAATCCCAGCTACTTGGGAGGCCAAGCTGGAGAATTGCTTGAACCTGGGAGCGGAGGTTGCTGTGAACTAAGAGTGTACCATTGCACTCCAGCCTGGACAAAACAGCAAGACTCCATCTCAAAAAAAAAAAAAAAAATTCCCATTCCAGCAGGTGTAGCTAAAAAAATAATAATAATAATTAAATAGGTAGAATTAATTTTGATAATCTTATTTAACCCATTATGTCTAAAATACTATGTCAACAAGTAATCGGTGTAGAAAATGTTAATAGGGCCGGGCATATGGCTGACATCTGTAATCTCAGCTCTGGGAGGCTGAGGTGGGCAAATCACTTGAGCCCAGGAGTTTGAGGCTGCAGTAAGCTATGATCATACCACCGCACCCCAACCTGGGCAACACAGCAAGACTCCATGTCTAAAAAAAATGAGATGTTTTACTTTTCTTTGTAGTTAGTCTTTGAAACCTGGTGTGTGTTTTATACTTAAGGTACATCTCAGTTCAAACTAGCCATATTTTAGGTGTTCAGTAATTATGTGTGGCTAGTAGCTACCATATTGGGTTTAGTCTCCTACCCCACATAGGGACAAGATAGGACATGTACAGGGTAGTGTGGCCGTAGACCCCCACATAACTTTGAAATACAGCAGATATCTTAAAGGGGAAATGCTTATAGTCATCCTCCTGTCGTAGAATTTTAAACTTTTTTTAGACAGTGTATCTCTCTGTGGCCCAGGCTGGAATGCAGTGGTGCCTTCTTAGCTTACTGCAGCCTCAAACTCTTGAGCTCAAGTGATCCTCCCACCTCAGCCTCCTGAGTAGCTAGGACTACAGGTGCACCATCAGGCCTAGCTAATTTTTTATAGAGACAAGTTCTCATTATGTTGTCCAGGCTGGTCTTGAACTCCTGGCCTTAAGTGACCCTTCCACCTAGGCCTCCCAAAACTCTGGGAGACTTGTGTGCCTTTCTACTGCTGCCTGTTGCATTGTTCTGGAACTTAGACATGTCCTGTGGAGAAAAGCCAATCATGTTTGCAGTTCCTCTAGTTTCCAGTCGACTGTTCCAGCCCCAAGGAAACCACCAGAAGCTGTTCTTATTTCTCTTTCCCCAGTAAAATCTCTCTGGCTGGAGTACACTGGATCCTCAGCCTTCTCCAAAATAAGCAAATCAGCAGCTCACCTCAGAAGGGATTTTCTCTCCGGAATTTTAGTTCATCTCATTTTCATTGCTTCCGTAGCTACCTATGTCTTTAGCAACATGATTTTGCAGTTTATCTAACTGTTTTCTAGTTGTAGTGGGAGTGTTTTATTTGCTGCAGTATACTACATCCTACTTGGAAATTTTTGAAGCTAAAATCTAACATACATTTTCTATATATCACATTTATAAGAAGGAAGGCACATAAGTGAGAATGGTTAAGTAATGTCAGTCAAGAAACACTTATTTGAAAATGTGTGTTGAAATTAGTTTTCGAAGGAAAGCAAGCAGGTGAAAAATGAAGAAAAATTAGGCAGCCTACCTTTGCATTTTCATTTCACTACTTTTGAAACACAGTAAGTGATTTTTAAGTGTCTTGTTGTCTGCTTCTACTACTTGCTAGGTGTGTGACCTCTCTAGCTCTCAGATCTTACTGTATAAAACAAGAGTGCCACAGTGCCTGACACTCAGTGTTAGTTATTAGCATGAATATCTTTTGTACACCTCTTCCTTATCTTATGCTGCTCCATTTTCCTGAAGTGTTTTCCTTCCCAGCCTTGTACTCTTCACTTAGTTATCATATGTTTATCCTTCATGTCCCAGTTTAAATGACTTCTATTTCATCAAGGATTCACTTCTAGTTTTCCTACTTAGAGTTAATACCCTGTTCCTCAAATACACTAGATTATGCTTGAGAATTTAGTCAATTTTTGGGCAATGGGCGTAGGCATCAATATTTTTCAAAAACTCTTCAGATGATTCTGAGGTATGGCAAACTTTAAGAACCACTGGCATAATGCACAATTCCATTAAAGTACCAGTTATATTGATTTGTCTGCATGTCTTCCTCCATAGCTAGTATGTGAATTCCACAACGTCAGGAACTTTCTTCTTCATGTTTGTATCGTAAGTACCTGACACAGAACCTGGAATATAAAGAGACTTAGTATGTGAATGAATATATTTTTATATCTAAAATGTTGGGAAAACAATTAGGAGAGGACAACAGGAAAGAAAGTAAAAATATTTTTTTCATCAACTCGGAAAAGCTATTGTTCCTAAAATAAAAATATTTTAAACTAATATTTATTTATTTATTTATTTTTGAGACGGAGTTTCGCTCTTATTACCCAGGCTGGAGTGCAATGGCGCGATCTCGGCTCACGGCAACCTCCGTCTCCTGGGTTCAGGCAATTCTCCTGCCTCAGCCTCCTGAGTAGCTGGGATTACAGGCACGCGCCACCATGCCCAGCTAATTTTTTTTGTATTTTTAGTAGAGACGGGGTTTCACTGTGCTGACCAGGATGGTCTCGATCTCTTGACCTCGTGATCCACCTGCCTCGGCCTCCCAAAGTGCTGGGATTACAGGCATGAGCCACCGCGCCCAGCCTTAAACTAATATTTAAACTGCATGCTCACTTTAGTTTTTCAAGGAAAAAAAAATGTGCTATTTAAAATTCTCTTTATTATTCTTATTTGTTTTTTACTTGCTTTGGAACTACAACTGTGTTAGGAACTATAGAGGTTTAGAAAAATACTAAGTGCCTCCAGCCCCCTAAAATTTGAAATATTACGCATTATAGAATAAGAAGTTTTTGTCTTCAAGACACTTTAAAAGCTAATAGCATTGTTGAGGTAAGTGTAAAGTACTGCAAGGCATGAAAAAAGGCATAATGATATGAGTTGGTTTTGTTTTGTTTTTGAGGCAGAGTCTCGCTCTGTTACCCAAGCTGGAGTGCAGCAGCGCGATCTCAGCTCACTGAACCTCCAGGGTTCAAGCAGTTCTCTGCCTCAGTCTGGGATTACAGGCACCCGCCACTACACCTGGCTAATTTCTGTGTTTTTTGTAGAGACAGGGTTTCACCATCTTGGCCAGGCTAATTCTTGAACTCCTGACCTCGTGATCCACCCACTTTGGCCTCCCAAAGTGCTGGGATTATAGGCGTGAGCCAGTGTGCCTAGACTTTTGTTTTGTTTTGTTTTTGTTTTTGTTTTTTGTTTTTTGAGACGAAGTTTCGCTCTCTCGAAGTTTCCCAGGCTGGAGTGCAATGGCACAATCTCGGCTCACCACAACCTCCACCTCCTGGGTTCAAGCAATTCTCCTGCCTCAACCTCCCGAGTAGCTGGGATTATAAGCATGCGCCACCATTCCTGGCTAATTTTGTATTTTTAGTAGAGACTGGGTTTTTCCCTGTTGGTCAGGCTGGTCTCAAACTCCAGACCTCAGGTGATCCTCCCACCTTGGCCTCCCAAAGTGCTGGGATTACAGACATGAGCCACCATGCCTGGCTGAGTTTCTTTTTAATTAATGGAACACTTCAGGAATTTGTGTGTCATCCTTGTGGAGGGGCCATGCTAATCTCTGCATTTTTCTAATCTTTATATATGTTCTGCCAAAGCAAGCACATACAGGAGATGTAGAGAAAGGACATTTCTTAGTCTCTTAGCTGCTGGGGTAAGGGCAGCATTCAAGAAAGAGGTGAACTTTGTGCTATTCCTGTAAGAATTGCTAGGTTTTGTCAGAAAGTATAAAAATGGTTCTGGCGACATCCTCAGATATGGGGGTGGGGGAAATGGGGGGAAAGGTAGTCGAGGCAAAATGAAAGCATTAGCATTATTTTGAAAATAAACCATAGTTTACCAGATAGAACTCTTGATTTCCATATACAACTTCATAAACTTGGTCCTCACCCAGGCTTCCTATGATAGTAAACATCAGCACGATTTATCCAATTGTTAAAACCCGAGTCCTCCATTTTTTCCTCATGTTCCACATGCAATCCATTAGCAAGTTCTATTCTACATTCAAAATAAGTTCCGAAACAGATAACTGCTTACCTCTTCCATCATCTCTCTAATAGAATGCATCCGACTTGCCCACTGACCTTTTTCCTGCCCTTTGTTTTTTCAAGGTAGGGTCTTGCTCTCATCTAAGCTGGAGTCCTGTGGCACCATCATAGCTCACTGAGACCTCAAACTTCTAGCTCAAGCAGTCCTCCCACCTCAGCCTCCCGAGCAGCTGAGACTACAGACGCACGCCCCCATCTAGCTTTTTCTGCCCTTTGAACATCAAACTCCTCCTCGGAATCTTTGCACTTGCCATTCCCTCTGGAATGTTTTTCCTCCACACCTTTGTGTGACTATTCCTTCTGCTTCACGTTATGCTTTTCTCAGCTCCACTGTCACTTCCTCGCGTTTAACCCATCTGAAAGAGCTTTCCCCTCCCCTACCATTCTTCATTTCCAGTACCTTTTTTCTTTTTTCTAGCCCCTGCTACTCTGAAATTGTATTATTTACTAATTTATTGTCTTTCCCATTAGCATGTAAGCATCATAAGAAGAGGGATTTTGTCTTATCCACTGAGACACTCTAAGTATTTTTGTTTTGTTTTGTTTTGTTTTTTTGAGATGAAGTCTCACTCTGTTGCCCAAGCTGGAGTGCAGTTATGCGATCTCTGCTCACTGCAACCTCCACCTCCTGGGTTCAAGCGATTCTCCTACCTCCAACTTCCAAGTAGCTGGAACTACAGGCATGTACCACCATGCCCGGCTAATTTTTGTATTTTTAGTAGAAATGGGGTTTCACTGTGTTGGCCAGGCTGGTCTTGAACTCCTGACCTCGTGATGCACCTGCCTTGGCCTCCCAAAGTGCTGGGATTACAGGCGTGAACCACTGCGCCTGGCCGAGACACTCCCAAGTTTTTAGGTGAGTGCCTATATATAGTGAGTGGTCAATAAATATTTATTGAATGAATTGTAGACTGTAGGTGCTAGCCATGTAAGACATCATAGTGAAGGTTCTTGAATGTCTGAATGGGTTGTTGGTGTGTAATTTGCTATTTAGTTATCAACTGTTGTAGGTCTTTGTTCCAAATAACTTGATCACAGTTGTTTTAGGAAAGCTTAAGAAGAGTAAACTATTATCCCGTTATATATTCACATAAATTCTATGAGATAGTATTTATTGTCACTATTATGTAGGTGAAAAAACTGACCTATCTTGAGGTTTTTTATAATGTATTGGACTTAAGAACCACTTAAGAATTCTGTTGCTGTGGCATGTTATGTAAAATAGTTTACTTTAGTTCTTAAAATTCATATTTTTCTAAAGCAAATCTTCAAATGTTTATAATTTCATCAACCTTTTTCCATTTGAAATTGATCTTAATGAGCAAATTAACTTAGAAAATAAAATCACTTCTCTAAACTAGTATAAACAAGAATAATACCTATTACATAGTATATACTCAGTAAATATTTAAAGGAATGCACTATTAAAAACTGACAAAGTTCTACTTATCTTTCTGAGCTACTTATTTTTATTCTGTTTTTAAAAGATGCACAGTTTGAAAATGATGAACGAATTACACCCTTGGAATCAGCCCTGATGATTTGGGGTTCGATTGAAAAGGAACATGACAAACTTCACGAAGAAATACAGAATTTAATGGAAGTTCAGGTATGAATAAATTACTTTTATGCTTATAATTATTGTATTGCTAGAAAATAAGAACATTTAACACCTGAAAGAAATTAAGAGGAACCTAGTGGAAGTTGAGCAATAGTAAAATTTAATGTATTCTTTCTTATCTTTTTAGTTTTTATTTTTCCTTTTTGTGGAGAACAGGGTCTCACTATATTGCCCAGGCAAGGTCTCGAACTCCTGGGCTCAAGGTATCCTCCCACCCCTTCCTCCCTAAGAGCTGGGATTATAGGTGTGTGCCACAGCACCCGGCTAATATATTCTTTCTCTTCAGAAACTTGACCTTTGGTTTGTAGTCTTAACATGAGCACTGGGGTTTGGAACTTAATGTTCCATACTTAAGTATATGTTGCTTCCATGTTGTAGAAAATTTTAAAACCAGGGGTTTGTGCTCTCCCAGTTGATATTTAAAGATTATGAAAAAAGTAATATTTTTAATTAATGGTAAATTTTAGATTTTTATGATCAAGAGTGTATAAAATTTTAACCATATAGGGAGAATTTTAGTAGACAGTGAGTAACCCAAAAAAGTTAGTCAAAGATATAATAGCTAGCAGTCAAAGCAAATAGTAGGTACTTTCTTACCTACTATTTTTATTTATTTAAATAAACTTTTTCTCTTTTGAGAATTTTAAACATTTCTTTACAGGATAGAAAAGAAAATCCAGGTTGTTCCCCACCTTCCCAAGAATTAGGGTGGTGATTGTCAAGTAGTATTAGGACCTGAAGAGAAGAAAATGGGCAGAAAAATGACAGCTTCCTTTATGAATTCAACCCAGGGCAAAGAGATTTGTCATGTTATTACAGTCTTTTGGGTGGCTAGAGGAAGCAAGTCTTTGTTAATATACTACTATAAAGTTGAATGGGCAACAAAGTTTATAACAAACGTTTAATATATTGCCTACTGTTTGCCAGACACTGTTCTAAACTCTTTCACATAGAACTCTTACATCCTCATAACAATCCTATGAAATAGGTACTGTTGTTTCCACCATTTTACATATAAGATAACTGGGGCACCAAGAAGCTAAGTGGCTTACCAAGTTTACGTAGCTACACAGATGGTAATGATGGTCCTGCCTTACCATATTACCAAAAATGCAAGAAAAAAAATGGTCATTCAAAAACATCTAGCTTCTTACGTTTGTATTAGAAATTTTCCAGAAATTCTGACTAGCAAATTTTATGTATCCTAATTATTACAAACATCATTTACCTCCTCTCATTTTCCTTTTACTCAAAATTAATATTTAGGTTGGTCCTAAATGTACATGGTATGGCTTCTAATTTATTTATTAACACATACTTTTAATTTGGTCTAAATTAGAGATAGAATTCTGAGCATTTATGAGTAAAGGTACATGGGACCAATGCAACATTTTCATGTCATTTCAAGCCACACTTACTTTGTCTTTAAAAAGCATTTGTATCATTTATCAAATTAAAATTATTAAACTACATAAAAATGTTTTCAGTAAAGGATTTCAGACTTCTCTGAGTTATTTTAATAATTAAATAACTATTAGATATTTTTAAATGCAGTCTGAGGTTGGTATTTTTCATCTTTTAGGCTATAGCTGTTTGTATGGAAAACGGGAACTTTAAGGAAGCAGAAGAAGTCTTTGAAAGAATATTTGGTGATCCAAATTCTTACGCGGTAATTGTTTAAATTACAGCCATAGAATTTTAGAAGTGTTTATATAAAATGAGGAAAACTGAAAGAAAATTGGAGGAGAAAAGAATTGCTTTATCTTTTAAACAGTATAGAATAATACTGTGCAATAGAAAGACTATGCCAGTCACATATGTGATTTAAAATTGTTTAGTAAGCTGGATGTGGTGGCTTACACCTATAATTCCGGCACTTTGGGAGACTGAGGTGGGAGAATCCCTTGAGCTCAGGCATTCAAGACTAGCCTGGTCAACGTGGGGAGATCCTCATCTCTCAAAAAATTAAATAAATAATAAGTAAATAATGAAAGATAAATAAAATTTTGCAGTAGTCACATTAAAAAAGTGAAAAGAGGCCAGGTGTAATGGCTTATGCCTATAATACCAGTCCTTTAGGAGGCTAAGGCTGAAGGATCATTTGAGGCCAGTAGTTCAAGAGCAGTCTGGATGACACAGCAAGACCCTGTTCTCAGCAAAAAAAATTAAAAATTAGCCAGGTATGGTGGCATACTACTGTAGCTCTGAAGTGGGAGGATTGCTTGAGCCCAGGAAGTCAATGCTGCAGTGAGCTATGATGCTGCCGCTGCACTCCAGCCTAAGCAACAGAGAAAGACCCTGTCTCTAAAAATAAATAATAAAATAGTGTAGTATTTGCATATAACATATGTACATCCTTCTACATACTTTAAATCATCTCTAGATTATGTATAATAACTTATACAATGTAAACAGTTGTACTATTTCAGAACAAAAAAATACAGACAAAAAAAGTCTGTATGTGTTCAGTAGAAGTGCAATTTTTTTTTCCCCTGTGCATTTTATGGAACAAATGTATGCATTTCTTTTGGGTTTATTTGAGGAGTCAAATTGACGAGTCATAAGATATGTACATACTCAGTTTTAGTAGAGTATGTACATACCTTTAGTTTTGCCAAACTGTTTTCCAAAGTAGCTATATGAATTCCTCCAGTAGTATGAAAGAATTCTAGTTGCTCCACAGACCTTACCTCTGGGTTTTCATTTTAGCCATTCAGGCAAATATGTAATGCTATCACATTGGATTTTAATTTGTTTCCCTGATGAATAATCAGACTGAGCATCTTTTGATACACTAGTAGATAGAGTTGGAGAGTGACTACCTTAATCCAGTAAGGAACCTGGGCCTAGTTTAGAGTAGGTTGGACAGGCTTTGTCTGTCTCTAATTTGACCCTGTCCCTGGGCTATAACCCTCCAGAAATTTCAGCCAGTAGTCTGATATGTCTGTTGGGTTTCCTGCCCTTATATTTTCCCCATAGCACGATGAGACTACTGAAAATTCTACTCTGCTTATACCTCCCAGAAAAAAAAAAACTTATGGCCAGGAAGCATTAAGAGGTTAAGATAAGTGCTTAACCTCACTAGTATTAATGTTGCCTTATTAGGGTAATGTTAAGTAATATATTGAAACACCACTTCCCATCTCTCAGATTGGCATCGGTTAAAATGTCTTAGAATACCAATAGTTGTCTCAAAAATTTGAGAAATGATTGTACTGCCTACCATAACTTTCTTTCAAGACTGTAAATTGGTACTTCTGTGGGAGAGCATTTTAACAACATCTTTTTTTTTTTTTTTTTT